TCCCTCCCCAGGAAAAATCTTTGAATGGGATTTTATTATTATTCTCTCAACAATCTTACATCCTATTCTCTGCTGTATTTACTGCCAGTATGCTTGTGTTTTCCTCATGCCTGGGCTTCTGCTGGGCTTCAAGTATGTTATTTTTCTTCTACCGTTAATGTCATGTTTTGTACCTAGGCATTGTCAAAATGGTAACAGGTAACTTATAGAAAATTCTACTACTGGGCCAACCATTTTCTAAATATGTTCTACATATTACCTTATTTCAACCTTAAATTAACCTGTTAGATAATATTCCTAATGTAGATGAAGAAAATATTGTCTGTAGATGGCGGGAGTTTCTGTCCTGCTCAGTCCAGCAGCCATTTAGTCTCAAACACACAGGGGTTTATATTAATTATAAACTGTTTGGCCGATGGCTCAGGCTTCTTATTTGCTAGCTCTCTCTTAATTTTTAGCCGATATCTATTAACCTGTGTATCTCCACATGGTCTTGGCTTATCGGTGATGCCTGAGCCTCTTGCTTTCTCATTAGCTACATGGCATGTCCCTAAAAACTCACACTCTGCATTCTCTTAGTAGCCTCCTCCTCGTCTGGTAGTCTCGCTTATGCTTCTTGCCTGGCAACACCTGCCTGTCGTTTGGCCAAAACAGCTTTATTCATCAACCGATAAGACAAACATATATTCCCAGCATACAGAAGGATGTCCTCTATCAGTCTGGAGATGGTGCACACTTTGCTTCTGATGCAACAGCTACAGAAAGGAGCTTAGATGTGAATCTAGCTACTGTGATTTCAATTTATGCTTCATCTACTACACTTACTCTCAATTTTAATTGACGAAATTGCCTGCATTTGTCTTGTACATCCTGATGTTTTAATTTCCTCATGTGCTCTTTGTGAAATAAAACTTAAAGTCCTGGACACTGTAAAGACTGTAATATATCATTAAATGCAATCACCATGCCTTATAACAGGTCTCTCAGACTTCTAACTTAAACTTTTGTCTCCCCAGACAAATAGTATTTGCTTCCCACTTTAGTGCTCAGTAACTACCGTTATACCCCCCCACCCCCCCGCCCCCCCGCCCCGCCCTGTTAAACCTCTTCAGGTCATGTTATTAATGAGATCATATAGTACCCTTTATTTTTGTCTCTGGCTTGCTCCCTTAAACATACAGCACTCTGGCTGTCCATGTGTGTTGTAAGGAAATGGCAGGATACTGTATTTTTATACATGCATTTTATATATGTGACCTGTATTTTCTTTATCTGCTCACCCACTGATGAATACTTAGGCTGATTCCGTTTCTCGGCTATTATGAGTAAGGCTATAGCGAACACAAGAACAGCGTTTTCCTCAACATATGAAGCTCATTTCCTTTGAATGTATGCTTGCACTGGGGCTGCTAGATATACAGAAGTTCAGTTTCTGTTGTGTGAGGTTCCTGCTTATCCTTGCTGTGTGGCATCCCAGTGCCATTAAGCGAGCATTCCCTTCCGTCCGCATGCCAGCACCTCTCAGCTTCTGGTAGTAACTGTTGTACACGGATGGCACCTCAAGCTGTTTTGACTTATACCACACTAGTCATTAAGGACACTGAGCATTGTTGGCCATGCCTACATCCTCCCTGGATAAATCTCTATTCCCTGTAGTTGTCTGCTTGGCTAATTGCTTTCTTGCTTTTGAGTTGTTCAGGCACCTTGCATCTTTTAGATGCCGACCACTTATTGTTGTTAGCCCTTTTCTTTAGCATTGTCACCTTTTGTGTAATAGTAGTGAAAAGAGAGAAAGCCATGGAATAGGCTACCCTTTGCCACACTGCGTTATGAGTTTGCTCTAACCTGTTTTCTAATCTTTGCTTTTGTTGCCTGAGCTTTTGAGGTTATATCTAAACATGCTGCTCAGACCTATGTCACAGGCATTCCCTGTGTACGTCTTACTCTAATACTTTGTTCTTCCAGGCCCCTCATACTTAAGTCATGGGTTCACTTTGCGTTGCTTTTCCTGTGTCGTGTAAGGTAAGGGTCTAGTTTTATTCTTCTGGGTGTGCAACACCATTTGCTGAAAGCAGCACCTTCTCCCTTCATGAGCTCTTCATGTCCTTGAAAGGCTTTATTCTCTTTGTTCAGGACTGCCTTGGTGATCCGGGGTATATTACATTCTCAGTGGACAATTCCTTCTTTTCATTTAATCGGATCTGCAGCAGGCTTGGCAGTACCGATCAATCCCTGCCTTTGGATGGACGCATTCTATTCCTTGCTCCCTAGTGTTCTTGTCCTATGTGCTTTCCCCTTTCTTCAGCCGCTGCCTTCCTGCTGCCTTCAGCGTCCAGCCCACGCCCACGGTCAGGTGATCCTTTCCGTCTCCCCCTCTGTGGGTCACATCCCCACCATGGCCTTGTTCAGTTTCCAGTTCTCCATGTGGCCTAGAGACTGCTCCACTTCATACAGAGTCCCCTCATTTGCACAGAACGCGATGGATGGCCGAGCCAGCCTTGCACCCATCAGGGTTCCAAGCAAACTTAATGGCCCCTCCCTCCACCTGTCTTCTGCCAACCCCGCCTCCTTTTCAGGCCTTCTCTATTAGACCATCAACTTTTCAACCTTTTCTTTCTTATGGTTTTTCTTTTTGATTTTCGAATCTTGGGTTGTTTGAAGACATGGTTTCCTCTGTGTGCCCCTGGAACTCTCTCTGTAGACCAGGATGACAGGGAACCTGGAAATCTGCCTGCCTCTGCCTCCTAAGTGCCGGGATTAAAGGTGAGAGCCACCACTGCCTAGCAGACCATGAGCTTGTAATTGTTCAGTTCCTGATAATGCTCTCCACTGAAACATCCCTCTCCTGCTGGTCTCTCCCGTACCGTACCGTGTCTGCTGTAGCCCATCATCTAGTAATCTCTTAGCACTTAGACTCCTGTAGCTACTCATTCTCACCCCCCTCCCCTTAATCGTCTCTGAGCTGTCTGAGCGAAAGGATGCCTGTCCTGTCCCAAGACTTTACCTTCTAAAAAAAACAACTAATGCCTTTATTAGATATCACACGAGCCTCACATTTCTGATGAATTTCCCTCAACCTCTGCCTTGTCCTCCCCCACCCAGTCCCCCGGGCCACCCTGGCCATATTATCAGCACAGGGGGACATTTCTCAGTTTCAGAACCAGGTCCCACCTTGCTTTCTGTTGTTCGTTTTCCATCCCCAGATCTTCACAAAGGGTGCTGCTTCCTTATAATTTATTTAGTCTGTCATTCAAACTACATCCATGCTAGAGAATGCCTGAAACTCTCAAATGTAGATGCGAGTTCCTCCCCTGCTCAGTCACTCCCAACCACGTCCTGGTACACTGGATTTCCTACCAATATTTACTTACTTCATAATTTACTTGGGTGTTTGTGTTTCTCCCCCGGCAATATAAGCTCTCCAAGGACAGGAAAAGGACCTTCTCATTTTAATTCCCTATGTCCCCAGTACTCAGAAGTTTGTGATGTGTGGTATTCACTCAGTTTATCTGTCACCAACTATAGTGCAGTACAGCAGGCAGTATAAATCATATAACACAACGCACGGTGCGTTTGGGAAGTTAAGAGCAACTGACTCACACTCAACCAAGAGGACACTATAGAGCATAAGAGGGTTGGGCCGGGATCGTGGGTCTTACATATTTTAGCTTCTGTTTAAATATCATGTGGCTGAATCAAACCTGGAGAACTTCTGCCATTGGCATCTACAGTGACACAAATATCTGGTTTTGGAGAATGTACCCCTTTCCTGACTGTTCTCAGAAGTACCTGTCAAAATTGTATGTCACACCCCAGTTTCTTGGTCTCACATGGAGAGATAGGAGTTATGCTATATACGATTTTCACACCCAGAAAAGCTTAGGCAAGCTACCTAACCCGAGATACTGCCAACTCCCTGCTCTAACAGGCAGGTTGATTTGAAGGCATGATACGCTGATCCTTATAGGCAAAGGATGTTCAAAGTGTTTATAATATTAAACTATACCAGATTTCCTACCCATTTAAATTTCTACTTTAATATTATGTTTTTTTTCTGAAAGCATATTTTAGTAGATGCTTAAGTTTTATTTTTAAAGCAGTTCTTAATCTGAGGAGACAGAACAGAAAGGACAATACGTCGAAGAAGAAATGTGGGAAGGAAGCAATACTGATGTAGACAGACCTGAGTCCTTTCAGAGCACAGTATCCAGAATTTCCAATCATCCCCAGAGCCCTGTCAGTCATCTTACTTTGAGGTTGGAAAAATGGTTATGTGTGCCTGGCAGCTTATGAGACCGGCTTTCCAAGTGGCTGACTTCCAGATGCAATCCATCCACATTCTGCCTGCAGTTGTTGCCATTTGGTGGGCAGTTTTCTCCTCAGGCAAAATGGAAAGAGGAATGATTGTGGGTCCTGACACTGGCTGCAACATGTGGGAAAGCGGTGGTGCTTCTAGACTCTTCTGATTAGTTTATTTCCAGGGAAACTGGGCAGGGGATTCTGAGGATGCAGTGTCTACACGATGTCACTGCTTCCTGAGAGGCTGTCCTTTGCCAAAGCCTCACCAGTTACCCTGCAAAGGATTACAACTGTTAGATCCCACAGCTGTGATTGTATGACAAGCTTCAACAAGCCCATGACAGGCCACCACTTCCAGGACTTTATGTTCGGGTGATTAACACATTGAACGGAAAAGGTATGAAATGGACAAATAGATGTTTTTATTTTTACAGATTGGGTCTACATTTCAGACTCCATTATTGGCTCATTTTAACCCAGTCACTAATTGTTCCTGCTCCACCAAGCATTTACTGACAGAACTGGTCTCAGCACATTTAGAAATCAAGTCCGCATCGCAGAGTCAATATCATCGTGTTTCTGGTTCCGTGCGTGGCCAGATCCATTATAGAGCTATATTTGATGTATTTCTGATGGAAAACAGAAGAGACGTGTCCAAAGCTTTCTCAACACTGTTTTATCTTCTGTTTCTGTTTGCACAGCTCACCATGTTAAAACGGGAACTTGCGAGGTGGTGGCCCTACACAGATGCTGTAATAAGAACAAGATAGAAGAACGGTCCCAAACGGTCAAGTGCTCCTGCTTCCCCGGGCAGGTGGCAGGCACCACGAGGGCTGCTCCATCTTGCGTGGATGGTGCGACCTCTTCCATTGCTTATTGCAACAATGTAGTCAGAATTGGAACCCCACTATAATGCTACTTCCCGACCTACCCCCTCCCCAGGGGGCCACATTGCAAATCACAGGGCAGAAAGGAAGTTATGTTGGGGCTTTTCCCCCCCATGTGAATACCTCTAGCTAGAGTTAATTACACTTCATATAGTTGTCACAAAAGCATTATAACGAGGTTCCAGCCAGTCAATGTGCTTCTGATAATGGTTGCCATGAAATATAGATTTCCCAGTAGATGGCATATGCAAAATTACTTGGGAAATGCAAGATGGCCATACAGGGTTGAGTAATGTACGTGCAAAACAGCCTGGACAGAGTTTTAGAATAAGAGAGAAAGAAGTCAACACCATGTACATGAATGAATGGCTGAAGATGAAATTCACATAAAATGACTTTAGATGGATGTATATATATATCTGTTTCTTTGATAGTTTGTATTATCATAATAGATTATAAGGCTAGTAATTGTTGCATCATAAACAGTAATTTTTCTGTGCCTACTCCTTGTGAAGAAATTACTGTTTATAATAAAGAAAAAGAGAGAAAGTGTGCTCTCCAGATTTTCAGCTTGCTCTTAGAGAGCATTTCATTGGCTTTAAAATATTGATTCATCTGGGCATGGGTATAGCTTATTATGTATTTATATAAATCGGTGCAAGGCTTTTCAATATATTAGTCTCAGGAAGCCTGTGTTTTCACTTGAAGCATTCTTCAACATAGTGAGTAAAGTTATTACTTCCTGTTGAACATTGAGAAGTTTATTAATATTATATATCCCATGTTGGCCATCCCTTATTGTGGCAAAGGAAAATTCTATGTATAACGAAAGTTCTAGAAGAAAGCAAATACATTGGTTAGATCAGTGAATTTTGTCCTGTGGTAGGTCCCAAATAGAAATGTTGAGCTAATCTTCCTCTCTCCTCTTCAGCATCCATAGTGGAACAAAAATGGTGGTGTCACATGAAGCCGTGTCTGGAGGGAGAGGAGTGTAAAGTCCTCCCTGATCGGAAAGGATGGAGCTGCTCCTCTGGAAATAAAGTGAAAACAACTCGGGTAAGTGGACAGCCAGCCTGGATTGCAAAAGATCTCCGAGTTAGCAGACTGTGCTGTGGTATCTTAACGGGAGCTTGTATGAGAGAATGAGAGGGTATTGTTTTATGTAATGTGGATTTCCCATTAATTCATTTATTCATAGCACATTTTTTTTATTTCAGAATACCATTTTCTACCAAACACCATCCACCTTCATGTTTTCTGATTAATGAAAACCATTTCTTCATAAGACACTGCCAGCAGCATGAACACCCCTACCCCCACACCAGGACCCATTCTAAATGTCAGACTACTGGCCACACACAATCCCTCTTCTGTAGCTGAAACTTTATGGGGGTGCATATTCTGAAAGACTGATTAGTTTACTCCTGGCTCCGTATCTGTTCACAGCTGAGGATCTCTCTCTGTTGTGAAAGTGATGGTCTTGATCTTCCTGAGTTTTGGACCATTGACTGGTCTTGTAAGGGTCAAGGGTTGTAGTCAATGCAATGGGTAATGGAGAGGCAATTCAGAATCTCATAGTCAGCACAATGCTTAGGATAGGGATGCGTTTATGTACTCAAGAACTTTTCTGGAAGATGGGAGAGCAGTGAGAAGTCACTTTAGTTTTGGTTGTGAGCCTAGCCTTTAACAGTTGAGCCATCTCTCCAGCCCAAGAAGTCATTTCACTTTTTATCTCCCCATTGGCCATGTGAATTTTCTGTACTGGAAGAATTTGATCTCCAATTTTAATATAATTATAAAATATATGTATAAATTATAGAAATTATAAAAATATATATCAGTGAAAGGTATATATAATTACATATAAATTATATATAACTAAAACTATAATTAAGAGCTAAAATTTTATAATTTTAAATTTGCTTTGAAGGAAAGTTGATAATTGACTAGCATTGGATACTTGAATAATAAAACAAAATAATGGTATAAGCATATTTTATAAAAAGTGACACCTAACTAGATATTTATTCAACATGAAATTTAAAAAAAAAATTCTGAGTATCTTCATGTGACATTCTACTGATGTCATCCCAACATTCTTCCCTGTCAAGTAATGTCATCACATTAGATGTGTCCATGGTTTGAATAGCACAGATTAAAAAAACTACTTTGTTGACAATTATTCCTGATTCCAATTTGTTGGCTGAATTTTGGGAAATACTCCCCCAAAATATGCATGCACATGATCAGTTAGTTAGAATAGTTATATTATTCACCAGGCTATCAAATGTTCTAATTCTGATTTGTTAACATTTTTGTTGGTATAAAATTTTCTTGCAAGGTATTTATTACCATGAAATTATTTTCCCCTCACACTGTTCCTACAAAAAATGTGAATAATGGGAATTCGCTAAAGATTTGCGATTCTGACAGACATTGACAAAATAAGTTTGTAAAAAGATGAGCTCTTTATAGCCATTCTGTGTTTTCATTAGTTCAGTGGACAAGGGGAAGCTGACATTTATTGGTCCCATAAACATATGCTGTACCCTGAACAGGGTACTTTAAATACATTATCTAATTTACTCCGCGTAATAGCTCCATGAGGATGGTATTTTCATTTCCATTTTACTGATGAGTAAACCAATACTTCACAAAGTTAAGTGACTTCACAAGGTCACGGTGGTAATTAATTGAGGGACCGAGATTTAGCCACACAACCCGATTCTCAAAACTGATCCCTCCATCTGCAAGTGTAACTTAATTTTAGCATAGGATTTAATATATTCTTTATGTGATAACGATTAAACTCTCCTACTTTTCAGATGAGGTAGACCTTTGGGAATATAGTTAACTTTCTAGATCATTGAAATGAAAAGGTCAAGATGCTGTTGAAATTCTCAAAAAATTATTTTCTAATGGTGCCGTTTCTTCCCTGTTGACCAACTCTTAATAATCCAAAACTGAAACCGAGCTTCACCTTCAGAGATTTTACTCCAATGTGCGTAAACAAGACAGATGACCAAGTGGACAGTTCTGGGCAGGAAAACCACATTTAGACCCTAGAGCTTGCTTTAGCAGTATGCTACTGCATGCCAGTGAACAACATTTTCTGATTTTCCTTCATTCTTCACGGAGAACAGGTGATGACAGAGGTATTTTCCCCGTCATCTGGACGAGGGTTTTGTTGCTGTTGTGGGGTTAAAAACTGTGGCCAGGCAGGAAGCTCTTCAAACACTAGGTCCTTGATAGATTTTGTTGTGTCTATAGTGGGTAGCTACAACAATGTGGCCATAGGCAGGTGAGAGCAGACAGGAACAGAAGCAAATAGCCTCAACGGTTCACAGTACTAAAGCCAGCCTTGAGTCTCTCCTCTGTGTCCCTGGAGCGTTTTACCTTTCTTTAGTTTCTTCTGCTCTCTCTCACTCCCCCCCCCCCATACTCCTCTCCACGGCCCCATGTCTGTCTTTGATCTTTCTGCCATGAATGCTCTCAATTGCTTCCCCAGCTGTTGGACAAATGTCCATCTTTCCCTTTCCACAACTCAACCGCCACCTGTCCATCACCATTGATCTTGGGCCTCTAGCGTCTCTATCTTTGTGTTCCCAGCGCAAACTTCACTACTGAAAGCAGACAGGAGGAGACTACTCAAGGAAATCCTTGATGTGATATAAATCGGGGCAGGAGTCTCAGAGTTGTTTCCCAGCCAATTCAATAAGTGAGTTTGCACAAACATTGATACTTAAGTTTTGGACCAATTTCAGCCTTGCCTCTTAACATCGGTCATACTAGTCCCTCTGATAGGTCAAGTCCTCCTCTGCTAACTTATGTGGTTGCAGGGTCATCTAGAGTTCCTGTAAACTTGTGAAAACACAAAAGTCTGATAGAAAGTTATTTCAAACCACACCGACAGTGTCTGCAGGGCCAGGGAAATGACGTGTGGTTGTCATGTAGGCATCTTGAACCCATCCGAGGATTAGTCCGACAGCTGGCACTGGCAGTGGCAGAAGGCAAGACCAGCTGTTTCTGTTGCTCAGGGAGGCCAAGGCAGCAAAAAGGAGCACAGCAGCTACAAATGATGGAGTTAGAGTGAGTGCTCCATGCCTCTGCCGCCTCCACTGAGTACAAAAGAACATCAGGTGCCAGGCTGACAAGAACTCAGAGGACTTATGTTTAACACTAGCAGTGACTTTATCAGTGTTTATCAGTGCTTATCATCTGGCCAGTGCCCAAGGGAGAGGTGAGTTCCCAACATCTGTCCTGGATTAATACAGTTGTGGGTGCTCTGATTACATGGCTTCTAAGATCTCGGGTGATTCTGAGGCCAGGATTCTCATAGAAAGAAAACTAGTAAGAGGAAAGATAAAATGACTTGAAGGAAGGAAAATTTCGATTCATCAGGGTAAATTGTTTTTCCCTTTTGTTTCTTTTGTAAGAAGCATCTTTGTTCTTAATTGTTTTAAGTATATATTGTAATTTTTCTTGCATTTTAATAAGTTAAAATTTCCTTTATGTGTATCTACATGTGTCTTCATGTTGGTATGTGAGAAGGCTAGAAGAGGTCTCCTGGAACTGGAGTTCCAGGTGTAGGGTCACCCAAATTGGGTTCTGGGAACTAAACTCGGGTTCTCTGTAATATTAGTGGATGTTCTTAACCACTGAGCCGTCTCTCCAACCCTAAGAGGGAAAAACTCATAAATCATGGACATACTGAGACATTTTCAATTACCTGAATACTATGATAGTGTACCTGGGTAGTCAGTCAGAATTGCACAAATATGAATATTTATTGAATTCACACAACAGTTTGGGTAAGTACTGCTATATTACTATAGAAGTTAGTTTCCGATGTCATTAGCTCTGCCTTTACCTTGAAAATATTGTAAAAATGTGAGGGAAGAAAGAAACGCCCCTTAAATAGGTTGGGACACAACTGTACTACACATAGACTGAGTATTGGACAGGGCCGATTCTTCCATGCATAAGTAGTTATAATATTATTAAGGTGTGTAAGTCATTATTTTATTCATTGCTCTTACTGTCCACTTGCCAATCTTGAATAAGAAGGCTGGGACTGCCAGAGCCCTATACAACCATTATTCCTGATATGGCAGGTTCTGGGCACAAAAGGATGCATAGAGAGTCTGCAAAGGTTACAACATAGCTTTCAGGCTGCTCTTAGCCCAAAGCTCTTTGTGTTTCAGAGGCAAACTATGATGGTCATACGGGATTTTCCTGGCTAGAAAAATGGCCAGAGATATGATTAAAAATTTCAGCAATGTACACTCTCTCTTTTAATTGCCCATATCCAATCTGGAACCCTCAGGTAAGTCTCATAGTGAAGGAGAGCAGTCAGCCAAATCCAGCAGTGAGGCCTGCATGGCCTCAGCAGAGAGAAGTGGAATCTTCCAGAACTAACCAGAAATCAGGGCCGGGTGAGTTCACCTGATTAATTTGGAAGCGTGCTTCTGCCTTTACATCCCATTCAGAGAGAATTGTTGTTGTTTTTGTTCCAACCTATTTTCTTCCCCAGAAAGGAAGGTAGAGAGTTAACAGGTAGCCTTTTAAGAAACAAATTTTTGTTCTAAGCCCCATTTAGTCTGACAAAGCATAGCCGATTCAACATCTGTTTCCAAATCTTTTTGTTTTCCCTCCCCTCTCATGCTTGAGAAAAAAAAAATATTAGGAGCATCTATGACACCCAAAAACTATCTCCTGCATTACTTTTAAGATTTAAGATGAAAAGGAAAAGAAAAGTCTTACAAGCCTCTTATTTTGAAGTCACTTTCAAAGATAAATAGTGAGGAACTTGTTTTAGAGTCATTAATAAAAGAATAGTCTCTCCAGTGTAAAAGAGCACATAATTATATGCTAATTATACAATACAAAATAGCAGGGGAAAGTTGCTGGGAAGCTCGGGAGATAGGAGAAAATATCTTTAACACTGTTGGGACTGGCAGAAAAAAAACCAGACTCTGGCTCTTTCTTTTAATGTTTTGATATTTTTCTTCTTCTTTGGAAGATCTGAGGAACCTTGGGCTGTGTTAGAATTTCAA